AAAGATCCTTACTTGTAAATGTGATAGTGATATAATAGTAGTTTATACACTTGTTTACATACAGTTGTCTATCATAGTAGTTTATACAGTCTTGTTTACATACAGTCGTCTATCATACTAGTAGTTAATATAGTCTTGTTTACATACAGTCGTTTATAACAGTAGTTAATACACTCTTGTTTACATACAGTCGTCTATAATAGTAGTTATACAGTCTTGTTTACATACAGTCGTCTATAATAGTAGTTTATACAGTCTTGTTTAACATACAGTCGTCTATGATAGTATTTAATACAGTCTTGTTTACATACAGTCGTCTATGATAGTAGTTAATACAGTCTTGTTTACATACAGTCGTCTATCATACTAGTAGTTTATACAGTCTGGTTTACATACAGTCGTCTATAATAGTAGTTTATACAGTCTTGTTTACATACAGTCGTTTATAACAGTAGTTTATACAGTCTTGTTTACATACAGTCGTCTATCATAGTAGTTTATACACTCTTGTTTACATACAGTCGTCTATAATAGTAGTTATACAGTCTTGTTTAACATACAGTCGTCTATAATAGTAGTTTATACAGTCTTGTTTACATACATTCGTCTATAATAGTAGTTAATACAGTCTTACATACAGTCGTCTATCACCGTAGTAGTTAATATAGTCTTACATACAGTCGTCTATCGTAGTAGTAGTAGTAGTTAATACAGTATTGTTTATATACAGTCGTCTATCAGACTAGTGGTTAATACAGTCTTGTTTACATACAGTCGTCTGTCGTAGTAGTAGTAGTTAATACAGTCTTGTTTACATACAGTCGTCTATCGTAGTAGTAGTAGTAGTTAATACAGTCTTGTTTATATACAGTCGTCTATCAGACTAGTGGTTAATACAGTCTTGTTTACATACAGTCGTCTATCGTAGTAGTAATAGTTAATACAGTCTTGTTTACATACAGTCGTCTATCGTAGTAGTAGTAGTAGTTAATACAGTCTTGTTTACATACAGTCGTCTATCAGACTAGTAGTTACTACAGTCTTGTTTATATTCAATCGTCTATCGTAGTAGTAGTAGTAGTTTATACAGTCTTATTTATATACAGTCGTCTATCAGACTAGTAGTTAATACAGTCTTGTTTCATATAGTCAGCGATGAAGCGGGAAAACCGACAGTGTGTTTTTGTATTATAAATACGTTAGAAATTTATGAATACGGTTTTTCCGTCTTTATAACTAATATTAATGAAGCTCATTTATCTTTTCATCGGGTGTACGACACCATATATTGTTTATGTTGTGATAATTTGAGTTTAAATTTTGTTTAAGTTCCTTACTGGAATTTGCTAGAGGTTATATCCTTTAGCTGAGTTAGTAGAGCAAAATCCTGGAGTGTAGGAAGACACGGGTTCGACTCGGACCCGAGAAGATGGGAAAAAAAAATTACCGCGCAAAAAAATGGCGCCTAAATAGTGCTCATTTCGTTACGTTTAGATAAGGCGCGAGGACAGGTCATGTTTGTTTGCAAGTTAAGCACAAAACTACACAATGGGCTAGCCATTTGTACTGTACCAACCACAGTTATAAACCTTCTTTGTGAGAACGGAAGAAAATGATAATTTCACTAGTTGGGGGTGCATTAGGTGGAATTATTAGTAGGTAAACTTCAGTTGATAGAATACTCGGGATGAACTCTGACATAAGAAGATGAAAATAATATTAATTAGCTCACCATAGAAACGCTTTGTATTTGGTAATTATTGTTTTTTCGTCTTTCTAGGGCCCGGCATGGCCAGGTGGGGTTACGGCGCTTGACTCAAAATCTGAGGGTCGCGGGTTCGAATCCCCGTGCTACCAAACATGCTCGCCTTTTAAGCCGTGGGGGCGTTATAGTGTTACGATCAATCCAATTATTCGTTGGTAAATAGAATAGTAGGCCAGGAGTTGGCGGTGGGTGGTGATGACTAGCTGCCTTCCCTCTAGTCTTTCACTGCTAAATTAGGGAAGGGTAGCGCAGATAGCCCTCGTGTAACTTTGCGCGAAATTCAAACCAAACCAATCGTCTTTCTAGACTCTACCCATTGAGCTAAAATGTTAACCCACTAGCAGTGTCTGATAAGTCGCTTTTTAATAACTCAAACTATCATATTTACAAGTAAGGATCTTTTTAACAACTCAAACTATCACATTTACAAGTAAGGATCTTTTTAACAACTCAACGACTGTATGTAAACAAGACTGTATTAACTACTAGTATGATAGACGACTGTATGTAAACAAGACTGTATTAACTACTATCATAGACGACTGTATGTTAAACAAGACTGTATAAACTACTATTATAGACGACTGTATGTTAAACAAGACTGTATAACTACTATTATAGACGACTGTATGTAAACAAGACTATAAACTACTATGATAGACAACTGTATGTAAACAAGACTGTATTAACTACTATCATAGACGACTGTATGTTAAACAAGAGTGTATAAACTACTATTATAGACGACTGTATGTAAACAAGACTGTATTAACTACAAGAATGATAGACGACTGTATGTAAACAAGACTGTATAAACTACTGTTATAAACGACTGTATGTAAACAAGACTGTATAAACTACTATTATAGACGACTGTATGTAAACAAGACTGTATAAACTACTATGATAGACGACTGTATGTAAACAAGACTGTATAAACTACTATTATAGACGACTATATGTAAACAAAAGTGTATTCTATAATAGTAGTTTGTCTTGTTTACATACAGTCGTTTATAACAGTAGTTTATACACTCTTGTTTACATACAGTCGTCTATCATACTAGTAGTTAATACAGTCTTGTTTACATACAGTCGTCTATAATAGTAGTTTATACACGTTTGTTTACATATAGTCGTCTATAATAGTAGTTTATACAGTCTTGTTTACATACAGTCGCAGTAGTTTATACAATTATAGACGACTGTATGTAAACAAGACTGTATAAACTACTAGTGATAGACGACTGTATGTAAACAAGACTGTATAAACTACTATTATAGACGACTATATGTAAACAAAAGTGTATAAACTACTATT